TTCAGATGAGACGTTTAGGGATCTTTTCACTTTTTTTTTAATAAGAATCACTGAATAACCCTATCAGTTATTCATTTAGAAAGAAACAGATTAAAATCATTTTGTGTCTTCCCAACTGAGAAATGCTGAGAGGAAAATGACCATTCAATCCTTCAGTAATTGTATAACATTCATATTCTAGCTTCAATCTTCAAAGTCTATTCAAGAGGCATCAACAGAACGGTGAATAGTAGAGAGGAAAACTGAATCAGGACGTCCAACAGCAACAGAGATCATCATTGCAACTTAGAGTCAAATAATTTTTGGGGGGTCAATGTAATCCAAAAAAATGCTGTGAGAAATGTGTTATTATTTCGGATTACATCTTTATTTTCGTTGTCCTCTTATTACCGAGAAGTAAAAAAACAAGAACAAATTTATTTCCATACCTGAGGTTGTCTGTAGGAACAAACGAAAGCTTGTAAAAATTAAAAAAGACCTTATAAAACTGGAATTTATAAACAGGGATCATATCATTCATATATAGGTTTGCGAAGATGTATTCTCGCTATTTAAATCATTAACCTCTATATTTGTTTTTTGTATGAATGATTCATGTAATTATAAATTGAACTGCACCTATCATCGAAATATATATATATATATATATATATATATATATATATATATAGGAAATTTTATAACATCATTATATATAATGTAAAACTTCAGATAGAATGTATCTGTAAAAGGACTATATTTTTCTCTTTTGTCTTCATTCATATCTATATATAGTGGTGTCCAATGCTGATCTCGCAAAATACAACATTAGTAGAACTGAGAACTTCCTGATGCAGTTACAAATTCGCTGGTCTGATCATGTTGCAAGGATAAGTTGTGGCAGAATCCCTAAGGTCCTCATGTATAACCAGTTTGCCAGTTGGCAAAGGGCCGATGGATGTCCGTAATTCAGGTATAAAGACATGCTAATGGGCGAAAGAAAAGACGAAAAACTGTTAGCAAATAAGACCCCATAGCTATGTCCTGAGATACTCGCTTTTGCCCAATATTGAGGTCTTTAGCGGGGCTAAAGTGTTACTTAAAACAAACATAAAAACTAAATGAAGATGTCGGGTCATAATACGTGAAAATCGACGGTGGAGTCCTGACACCAAATCAGTTGGGTTTCGATTCAAGCTTGAGGCATTCGGTTGTCTAGTCGCAATGAGAATCTGTGATGCAGCAAAACAGTACTGTCTGCGAATGACATTATTTAGTTCTTGAAAATATATTTTCAATTGAGTATTATTGAATGCAAACTAACTCTAAAAACAACCGTCACCTGTGTAAATGCGAAGCTCTTCAGTAAAATGAATGGAGCACTATGGCTGCTTGGCGTTTGTTTACGTTTGTAAAAACAATACGCTTGATTTGGCTGACTCGTTCTGTCGAGTGAAGATGGCTCAGTGGGAGAAGCTCCGATTGACACTAAATCTGTTATATATAAGATGTAATTTATGTCTTGTTGCAAAATTTGTCATCTTAAAACACTTAAATAACAGCAGTTTATTAAAGAAGAGAAACGAATTAATTCTTACATGTCGGCGTAAAAATAAATATCTGCTCAAATACGTTGATTCAGATTAATTATAATGTAAATTATTGGTTTGTGTTGTATGTTTTTTTGAAAAAAAAGTAATCTACCTGTATACTTAATATAGAAAATAAATATTCACAGCTGTAAAATATTTTCTTTTTACATGTATATATACATATATACAAATCTTGTTTATATAAAACGCCAAATATATTTTTAAAATTAAAAAAAAACTGTAATCCCAATATGATATATAACTGCACCAACACTGCGATAACCAAATATTTTTATGAAAAAATTAATTTACATAACATTCAATCTATACTCAGGGCCTGATGCTCGAGTTGTGTTATCGATGAGGATTAATATATTAATATATATATATATATATATATATATATATATATATATATATATATATATATATATTCGTTGTTTCTGTAACAGGATATATAGGAAGGATAGGCTTAGATTCAGGTTGAAAGGCGAAGTCTATTGTGGGTTCGACGTTATTTAGTTTGTTGACAAGATTCGTCAGTATCGAGTAGTATTGTGTCTTGTGGATATTTTAGTAGAGATTCATCTATGTATAAGAAACAGGCAAAATTTTGTGGTAAAATATGCCTGAAAGGATCATTTCCAGAAAAAATAGAAAGCCAAATCGCAGCTGACAGAAGAAATTTGGTTTGCCAATGGGATCTCCACTCAGGGCATTTTTGGTTTATCTATTTTTGGAATTTCTGGGAAATGGTCCTTTAAAAAATATGCACAAAATACAGCTTATCGCAGAAACTTAGTCAATTCTGTACTATCCGATTTTGTCAAAAAACTAAATACCTTTGAACACACAATAGACTTCAGCTTAGAACATTTGAGTTCAGCAACACCCTACGCTTCCTATCACGTAGGTTGAGCTCTTTGGAAGAAAGGGAATTTGTCGGTTGCTGCTGTTAACGCTAAAAGCCCTTCTCTATGAATTGAGCACACTGGTCGCCTGCAATGCTTATATTTTATATATAAGATGTTAAACATACCTTCTTTCGCCACGTGATGACATAAGGGGTGAGAGTTTCCGACTGATGTCAAATCGGTCGGGTTTCGATCCCGGCTTGAGCAATCACATGTCTAACCACACTGATAATCTGTCTGTGGATGACTGTATATATATATATATATATATATATATATATATATATATATATATATATATATATATATAAATAGATGACATTTTCGTTTTAGCTAAAAATATTGATCAAATTACACAACTTAATGACAAATTTGAAAGTCACTCAATCCTCAAATTCACATTAGAAATTAATATTAATAAAATTCTATTCCTTGATGTATTTATTGATTCCAGCACACATAAATTTACTACTTCTCTATACAGGAAACCCACAAGCATTAACTTGTGTCTTCTTAATTAAAACAGTGAATGCCACCAACGATATAAGTTAGCCGTTATAAAAAAAAAAAAAACTTACTCCAACGCATAGAAATTATATCTTCTTCCAAAACGATATTCTATAAAGAATTACATAACATTAAACAAACACTTGTTAATAATGGATTTCCTAATTCCGTCATTGATCAACAATTTAAAATGTAGCTCAATAAACTTAAATATACCTCTAGCAAAATTGATAATATTAATAATGACATTGTACATCAAAATAAACATAACATTATTAACTTATACTATTTTAACCATAATAATTAGAAATATGATGAAACAACACTCAAAAACATAATAGCTAGAAATGTTAAACCCATTAATAATAATAAACAAGTTAAGCTCATCATATATTAAAATTTACATTACATTGCATCTAGACATTGGTTCTGTTGCAATACTTCCATCTCTCACGTGGTATGACGTCATAGAACCACATCTTGAACTTAGGATCTGCATCTGTTATTCCCCGACCGTTATCGTCGCATAGCAATCTTCTATGTCATAATAACAAAATATCATCTTTGGCGTTGGATATCTTTGTTTCATGTCTTTGTGGCCACTCTGACGACTCTGATATATATATAGTTAAACCTACAGAGCCAGACAAACCTACCAAGGTTTCACCTAAGCGGATCGTCAGGGAAGACAGACTTCCCTGAGGATCCGCTTAGGTGAAACCTTGGTATGTTTGTCTGGCTCTCTAGGTTTAACTCGGTCTGCTTTACTCATTGTATTGAACACTTTATTTAGTTATTTTGGGTATTCTCATCGGTTTTTTTTCGTTGGGCCTTTAACTCGTATGTTGGACGATTATTTTCGGCTAACGGACATGTTCTTGGTTCTTTCTTTTTTATACCTTTTTTTTCCCTTTGGTATTGGCTTGTTTATTTGCAAATTAATACACGGAAGGTTTTCCGAGCGAGTATAGTTTGTTATACTAATAAGATTTCTATTAAGGATATATATATATATATATATATATATATATATATATATATATATATATATATATATATTAGGTTGGTGCAAAAATAATGACGTAAGCATCTCGTTTTTGACGTAGAAAAGTCCGTCAAAAACGACATTATTACGTCATTATTTTTGCACTAACCTTTATATATATATATATATATATATATATATATATATATATATATATATGTGTGTGTGTGTGTGTGTGTGTGTGAAAGTGCATATAAATATAAATAAATATAAGTATGTATAATTATTTATATATTATATGCGCGGTACTTATTAGAAAGCGCCCAATATCAGATACAGAGCTAACATCTATCCAACCAAATATATTATATATATATATATATATATATATATATATATATATATATATATATATATATATATATATATATATATTCGAGCATTTATTTCAAACACAAGTATCCAATATAATAAGGGCTGAAGTAATAAAAAATGTCAATTAAAAATAAATGCACTAATTATTTAGGAATTGCTTTGTTTAACTTTTGGATATGCAACTGAGCAAATATGGGCTTTCGGGAAAATATCTTAGTGAGGAAGTGTAATTTCCTCAAAAGGGAAAATAGAGCCTGGCTGTACTGTGATACTTTTCGTGGCAGAGTGGTAAGGCGCACCGGATGTTCATCTAATGAAGGGTACGCAGGTTCGATCACTGCCGGATAGCACATATACGCAGACAGAGAAATGTCATACATAATGTCTAAAAATAAAACATGGGGCGTTTTTTTCAAATACGAGTATCCACTATAATGACATTTGAAGAAATCTGTGTGCGTTATGAAGAGAACGGGATAGATACAATTACATTCACTCGTGATCATCAATACGTCAAACCCTTTTAAAATGTCAGAGATTTAAACGTGACGAGGCGAAAACTGAAATATGTTTCCTTTGAACTCTTGCAAATCTGATATAATTGAAGGAAAACAGAATAAAAACTTTGCATCGATTTAAATAGTGTAAATGTTACTGCAAGACAGGAGCTCCTGTCTCTTTCTTTTCCTCTTTGACATTTTTAAGACAGTTGTTTACAGGTAATTCTGATTTTTCCAAAACCAACAGTATGAACGAAGCATCCAAATAAATATTTCCTTTCATTATATTGGCACAGAAATTCTCACAGCTATTCTTTGCATGCAAGAGGAGTCTCAGAAGTGACTTATTCTGCTCTTTATTGCTTATGTCATCAATCACCTTTAATATATCGCATACAATCTCAAGAAAAGAAACCCCAAAAGAACATTCAAATACAAGCAAAATGCATTCCACATGAATTTACGAAAACAAAAATCAACCGTCTTTTAAATATCTTTCTTTCCTTTTTGACACAGTGTTGCGTTGTAGCTCAGACCAAATACCAGGTTCTTTGACAGTGTGCAGTTTCTTCCAGTCAAATGCTTATGGCTTAAAAATTACCCTTCAGCCAGAATGAAAAAAAAAACAACTAATTTCTAGCAGTAGACAATATTTTATTCTTGGGTTGTAGCCTACATGCTATAACAGAGGAAAGGAGAGATGAGACGTAGCTGTGGAGTGGGGATGCACAGTCTAGCGGCTGTCTTCCCTGTCCGTTCTCCGAGGCCATCTTTTTCCCTCTGTGTGTACCTTTTCGCGTGATGATCAGTTTTATAGATAACAGTTCACTGACATCTCATCGTCTAACAATTGTAATATATCTTCCTTCTATCTGTCTAAGCCTCTTGCTCTCTACTTTGAAGTTGACTTCACTTACTGATAACCATCGGTCGAAAGTAAATGTTCCGTATCCATTTTTGCGACAAGTCCAGTTGTTTTCGGTTTAGCAAGCGCCCAGTTTACCCATATTGCCCCAACAGTTAAAATTCATCTTCAATAAAATATACATTGTCGGCAAAAATCGAGTTTTTAAAAAAGGCCGTATACATTGTTTGCTTTAGTTCTACTAAGAATATAAGCATTAGAATATAGATGTCTGTCCTAGATATCTACCATTTTGACCATTGTCGAAGCGAGGAATCTGGAATGGTCTGGAGACTTCATAATAGTCAACAATCTTTGCACTGCTATACTATATGGAGCCACTTAAGGAAAAAAAAGAGCCAGACATAGAAAAAAAGGGACTGACAATCTCATTTATTGGACTGGAAAATTATTGATGGCAACTCAGATATTGGCATGTAACTGAAACATATGAAGTGTTCTGGTCAAGTGCTCAGCTGCGCAGCGGGACTGCTGATGTGAATGAAGATGTTTAATCAGAACAACATAGTCTCTCCATATATCAGTACTTTCTGAGCGACTGTTCGCTTGTACTCTCTTCCTACGGACGGGAGGAACCCGAAGGAGGCTACGCCGAAGGGCGGAGTCTCCTTCGGGGAGGTAGACCAGCCCTGAATCCATTTATACGGGTTCAATGGGCATATTTTTGGCCGAGCCCACGGGCTAGGAATGCCCACGGGCTCGGAATGCCCACGGGCTCGGAATGCTCACGTATAAAGGCCTTGTGCCACATGACACCCTCGTGGGAGGGTGACTGAATATCGTCTCTCCATATATCTCTTTTACTTATTATCTCTGAATTGCCATGAGTTCTTGGGGAAACACCCTGGAATATTTTTCTGTTGACTTAACCACAGTTATTAATTCAAACGTGTCCTAGACTGTCTGTTGGGAAAGACTGAAGATTCCATTTTATAATTGATATTTAACCCGTAGCGGGGAGAAGCTTTATTTATTGCTTTCCCACTGAAACTGGGCTAAAGTGTACTTAAACCCGGCTCGCCGATTTTACTTTTCGTGCCGATTACCGTTACGCTACCTGACACTGAGGGGAAACTGAAACAAAGAAAATCAAGTCTTGATCTCGAATTGTAAATGCAGTTTAGAGACAGCGGGCTTTCGGTGCGTCTAGTTGGCTTTAAAAAGAGATTCTTTATCGCGAATTCCTGGAAGTGAAACTAATTGTTGGGTGTGAGCGGAACTTAACCAGTAAGCGGTTCGGAAAAAGCAAAATCAAGTTCGAATTATCGTCAACTTGCGTACAAGGGACATTGCGTAACAGATGAGTTATTACAGCAGTGCTGGCTTGGCTATCTTGCATTACGTTTGTACCCCGCTTAGAAGAAGCATAATTCTGAATTCAAAATCCGACTGAAGAGGGATGGTACCCCACCTGCCCATGTCACCGGAGAGACACCACTGCTGCTATAACTGTAGGTCATATTATGCCCCGTCTGATCCCAATACAGTGTTTCTCAACCTTTTTAAGCAACGGCATACCTAGGAGCAAATGAAAATATCACTGCAAACATAGCAAAATTCTTAAAGGGTATCCATTTAAATGTTATGAAATAAAACCATATATTATTTGTGAAGCTTCTGTGTTTTTTCGCGATTTCTTCAATGTTTGATCGAATGTGCGATAAGCAGAGCCCCATTTCTTGAGTTGAGCGGAGTCTTTCTCGTTTTATTTTTAATTTTTGGTGTTATTTAGGGTTGAGAAGCCTAATTCACATAAATAAGAAGTAGAGAATAAACCTGATAAACCCTCTTTAGCTAATTATTTGAAAAAAGTTTAATACATAATCATTTATTCAAATACAAACGCTGTGCCATTAATACTTCAACACACATATATACATATATATATATATATATATATATATATATATATAGAGAGAGAGAGAGAGAGAGAGTGTGTGTGTGTATTGTGGGCAGCAGATAATTATTTAAACATATATTATTAAATATAATAACAGACAATGAATGTCTGTTATGTCTGACATTGAGCCGATCCAATGATTGCTTTAATTTCTGGTGTAAATAAAGACACACATTGTCCAATATTTGGATATTTTTTTTTTATTAATTTAGTCCTAAGCCTTTGGCTCACAGGGGCCATCATCAGAATCAAAATACAGACAGGAAAGAAAGATATCCACCGTCAAATATGATATTTTGTTATTTTAACGTAGAAAATATTTGACAATTGTTGTCTTTATTTTCACCAGAAATTAAAGTAAACATTCGAACGCTAGAACCGTTCATGATCAAACATAATACATACATATATATATATATATATATATATATATATATATATATATATAGTGACAATATTTGAGAATCATTGCCTTAATGGGTTACGAAAGGTCGATCGATTAAAAGCCACACCAACAATTGAAAATTTCTCTAAATCAATAAACGTTTACTTTTATTATGTAGACCAAGGTGTATTGATTTTGGAAGTACGGGTTAGCGACCCAGAAAGATGATATTTATTCAGTAACTTACAGAATTGTGGCACAAGGCCGCAGTAATGATTTCTAACCGTAGCTTAGATGTAGCACAAGGCCGAAAGTGTGCGCACCAAGTGAGGACCGAACTCACTACCCAGGAATAATTGATCTAATGAGACAAGCTTGCTAACCATTACACCACCTCTAAGTTCCCGAAGCGGCCCAGAAAGATGCACCGAAAAGACGTGATCAAAAATCCAGTCATGTTCCTTACGTTCACTGTAACACAAATACCCACAGGAAAGTCGTGCTGGGTTTCTTATCGTAGCTTAGATGTGGCTCAGGGCCGAAAGTATGGGGCTAACCCAGTGAGGATCAAACTCTTTATTCAGTCGTAACTGATCGAGCGAGACAAGCCTGTTAACCATTACATCACGTCGAAGTGACACAGTCAGGAAAGCCATAAACACATCTATACCTCTCATGAGCTATGAGCTATATAATAGGGTTGACCTAATTCTTATTTTGAGTGGCAACCAATTCAGGAGAAGGAAAATCTGAATTCAAACCCAGCCTGAAATGAACTAATCTTCTGGATAAGAAAGTCAACGATCATTCACCGGAAAAGTGTCGGTTCAACGGTTTATAGAGTTGTAATGCACTGTTCTCTAATATAAAACGCAACATCTAGTTGTATCACTTTCAGATCATACCACGTCTTATCCCATTTAACGTTCCTTGCCTGGTCAGAGGTACTAGATAGTATATTAAAAATATGGGAAAATTACTCGAAGATTTGTTATAAAATGAGAAATGTCATTTTTCATTCATGAGTGGATACACAGTTTAGCAGGTATACAAGCTCAAAGAAAACTAGAGAAAATACAGTACTGTTTGATAAAAGTGACTCACCTGATTTTTTTTTTATGGAACATTATAAAGTACAGGCTCTCTAGAAAGCAGTTGAGCAACTTGTTCCATAAGTTTTCTATGGGGTTGAGGTCAGGAGATTGGGGCGCCCATGTCATAACACTCACCTGCTTCTAATCAAAATATTCCTTCATCAATTTTGATTTGTGACGGAACATTATCCTGCATAAACATGAGCTTGGTGGGGTCGATTTGCACCCTTTCAGTAGAAGGGAGCAGACAAGACTTTAAAATTCTCTTGTACTACTCGCTCCTGAGGGTCTTTTCAATAGGTTTTAAGAAACCAGTTCCATGAAAAGAAAAGCATCCCCCCAGAACATTATACTGAACGGATGCTTGACAGTACTTACTGCTAAATTCAAAGAGCTTTCAAAGCTTCTTCTCCGGATTTTAGATTGCTTATCCTTTGAATTTAATTCAACTTTCGTTTCATCAGAGAAGAGAACATTAATAAAAAAAAATCAGATGAGTCACTTTTATCGAACAGCACTGTACGTTGATGATTTTATGAATTTACATACAGAGATTTTTTTGTATTGTTAATGTTTTGATCTCACCCAATTCAAAAAGAAAAGAAAACTACCAATTGGACAGTTCTTTGTAATAGGGTTTTGAATAATATTGAACAAACGTATTTGCTGTCGCCTTGAGCAACACTGAAAAAGAAATCAGAGAACCTAAATCAAATTAAACCAAGTAGAGTTACGTGCCCGGTGACTATAAATAACCTTGGCTTATAAATATGATATATTATAAAATATAATCTTTAGTTGTATAGACCTTGTGAACACATACTGTATTTTTTCATTATGAAAGAATACACAATTTCACGGGAAATCAGGATGCGTTCACACAAAGCTAGAGAAAAAAAACTTTCATGATATAACAACGATTCTACGAATTGATACAAAAAGAATTCTTTGTTAAAAACATATTGGTAATATTTACATCTCACCTAATTCTATAAAATAAAAAAAATAAGATAAGAATTTAGTCAATGCGAGCGAAAAGTTGTTTTTCGATAAGGTTTATGATTAATATTGGAAGTCTATTTACTCTCGCATTGGGCGACTTAACAACGTTCTACTGGTTTGGGGTGCCTTTGGGCTTTCCACCAAAAAGCGTCATTGTCCCAGCATTAAGAAAACCTTTCAAATGCAGTCCGCTCAATATCTTCCTTATTGAACAAACTCACCAAAGTCGGAAGTAAATGATTCGCTATGAAGCAGGAAATTGTTGTGAATGGACGTTTTCTGTATAACTGACATGAACTGTTCTCCTGAGGCGTACTGATGAATTTAAACACCGTGTTTATCAAATTCTCAAGGTGAGACGAAAAGAAAAGAACCTTCACGTGAAGAAACACATCTGTGAGGCCCAGTAATAAAAGACCACTCCTGATTCCGTCGAAGGCCAACAATAACGGCAATGAATTGTCATCTGAGACGGTATTTTTATTTACTAATCGACCCAAAGCCCCCAAAGTTTTATCACATATTGCTACCCACGATAGCATACATAGCTATTGATCCACTGTGTCACTTACAAACGTTATGTATCTGTTCTAAGATCGCGCTCAAACAATAAGGCCCACTGACCCTATATTTTATGTCGAGATTCGCTAAACAGTCAAACGTAGCAGAGGTAGGTATAATAACGCCTGATAAGAATATTGTTATGGTCCAAGGTTAGGACCAAGGAAGAACAACACGAAACACAACAGTAGAAATAACAAAGAATATATTACACGAAAAATAACGCAAGAAGTGGAAGGTTTTAGTATGGCTGTCAGACTGGTTGGGAGTGAACTACTATCAGCTCGACTCGATTCAATACCGATATTTAACAGTCTCCCCCACGAGGAATGTATGTGGCACAAGGCCGAGTTTAACATGGGTTTCTCCGAGCCCGTAGGCTCGGCCCAAAATATAACCTTTCAACCCGTTTAGACGGGTTCAGGGCCTGTCTACCTCCCCGGACGAAACTTTGCCCTTCGGCAAAGCTTCGTCCGGGTTCCTCTCTGCTAAAGCAGAGAGTTCAGCAGAAGTCGCACACAGTCAGAGACTGTGGGTGACTCGATTCAATACCGTCCGTCTCTCTTGTGAGGCGTAGTATATATGGCGTTAAGAAGAGTCCATTCTGTCGATCTAGGTAGGGACCATGACAAATACGTATATAAATGTTTCACAAGTTAAATAATTATTGTTCTAATCTTTGTTATTATCACGTTTCGGCGGTTGTGCCCTCTGTCTTTCATCAGGTATAGGTCGATGCGGGTAAACTACTTTGAATTCGGAACTGAATTATATCTAATCTACAAGGGTTTACTGTTTTGTTCCACTACCCATGTCTATGGATATCTCACCTCGTTCTTATTTTTACTATTGCCCGCCCATTTTCCATACTCTAAGTACATACTCTCTTACCCAGGACTCACAATGACTATGCCACGAAATCCACGAACCAATACTTTAGTCTACAAGGCTATGGTGTCAATTGAATTTCCTATAGCTTATCCTGACCGACATATACCTGATGAAGACTGAGGTCAAAATGGCCGAGATGAAGACAATTATCTGCATGTAAATAGTATAAATAATGATAACTTCTCATCTTAGAAATTCAAACATAAAATAATAGTTTACTCACTTCTAAACTTCTTTAAATTAACCTTGTAGAAGGTATGTGGTTTCGGGGACATTCTTCGAACGGTCGATCTTTTTCTCACGGGCAAGTGAAAGATTCTGCCTGTCCGTTCGCTTGTGGGATATTTCTATAACTTCCTTTCACCTGGTTGTCTTGTAGGTGTATATCTTAAGTTAACCCGAATCCATTTGCCGTGTATGACAGACCAGCAACCAGTATTATTTGAGGCCCGATTCTGCACTTGTTTGCTATGAGGTTTCATTCTAGGCAAAAATACGGAGGCACTCTTTTGGCGTTCTGAGGCGACCCCGAGTACAATAGTTGCTGGTATCTTTGGGAGTGAGATAATTGTTTTTCCTGTTACGTCAGCAAATTAGAAGACTCAAGAGCCACTCAATGTAGAGGGTTATTGTATGAGCTTGTAAGGGAAGGAAAGGGGGAAGTAAGAGTGTATTATGAAGACGAGTAGGATAGGTATCGGTTGATATAGGACTAAGATTGTAGTTGTCAGGGAAGTATTCTTTTTGGAGATTGATTCACGAAAGAAGTGGAGCTATCTCTTTATCAAAGCGAACACGAACGGCATGGGGATGATTTGCCACCTGGTGGAACTAAGGTATGTAACTCGTGCGGTCACCTGCCATAGTAATAGGGATAGAGCAGCGAAAAAGCTGGCAACGCTTCCTCTGGTCGATAAGGTTTACATGGAGGAGAGTGGTTTATCACGCACAAAGCCGGGTAAGCGCCTTTGAACTTTTCTTTCCTTCTTTCTCTCTTTCCTTCCTCCCTTTTTTCTTTCTTTCTTTCCTCCCTTCTTTCTTTCCTTCTTTCTTTCTTTCCTTCCTCCCTTCTTTCTTTCCTTCCTCCCTTCTTTTTTTCCTTCTTTCCTTCCTCCCTTCTTTCTTTCCTTCTTTCTTTCTTTCTTTCTTTCCCTTCCTCCCTTCTTTCCTTCCTTTCTTTTTCTTTTCCTTCTTTCCTTCTTTCTTCTTTCCTTCTTTCTTTCCTTTCTTTCTTTCTTTCTTTCCTTCCCTCCCTTCTTTCCTTTTTCCTTCCCCTTCTTTCCTCCTTCTTCTTTTTTCCTTCCTTCTTTCCTTCCTCCTTCTTTCTTTCTTTCCTTCCTCCCTTCTTTCTTTCTTTCCTTCTTTCTTTCTTTCCTTCCTCCCTTCTTTCTTTCTCTCCTTCCTCCCTTCTTTGTTTCTTTCTTTCTTTCTTTCTTTCTTTCTTTCTTTCTTTCTTTCTTTCTTTCTTTCCTCCCTTCTTTGTTTCTTTGTTTCTTTCTTCGATATTAACCGTTAACCTTTCAGTTGTAAGATTGAGAAGAATTTCGTGGCAATTTAATTTGATTTTCGTCATTCACTGCTTACCAAAATATCAACATGGAGGATGAAATACACATTCTCCTTTTACATATTTTTTCTGACGTTTTGTGTTTCCGATGAAACACTGAAGAATATCGAACGCTTGCAAATGGTCAGCAAGACCCGCTTGCCAGCCAAACAATATATACAGAGTCGTGCAACAGTTGGAACAGAGTGAAAAAAAAACAAAAACAAAACGCGCACAAAAATGTATTGTATTGATTATCCAAACATAACAAATACACCAGTAATGATATAATACTTACTGTAACTTTATACCTACATTTGAAGCCCTGTAGATATCACATATATAAGGATTTTAATGATGAAAATTTAGACTGATACAAGAGCATAATCATTTTGTTAGACTTGGTGTAGTCTGGTACAAGATCATGGATATCGTTAAATTACTGGGGATCAATTTCACTATAATTATGCCTTGCGAGAATATGCATATACATATATAGTGGAAGGGGGAACAAATATTGGAACACATAAAATTTTTAATTTATTGTATTTCCAGATAATGTATAAACATACTTTTCATACAATTAACCTTATACTTAGGCATAGGAACTAAATATGTATAGAAAACAGAAAACAATGACTAATAGAAATAAGTCCCATTTGTCCATTTTAATGGCTGAAAAAAGTAATGTTAAACGGAACACTTCTTAGTTAACTCACGACTACACACGTTAACCGTTGAAGACAGACCAGGGACAAATGTACAAGAATGACAAATGTAACCTGGTCTACATAGCATTACACGTATCGTAAACTTTCTTTAAACTTAATAAATTAAAGACATATGTCTATATGAACTTTTATCCTTGTTTTGGTGTGATGAACCCGCCTCCAATATATGTAAACGTACTTTTGATACCCCTACTCTCTGTATATATATATATATATATATATATATATATATATATATGTAGACACATACACACACACACACACATATATATATATATATATATATATATATATATATATAATATCTGGCCTATATCGTATTCGAGGATACCCGTCTACAAGTGCGACTAGCCTATCCCTATTGCAGACGTTCGCTCAGGCAAATTTATGTTTGCTTCACACTGACAGAGACCGCCTGCAGCTATGCTGAGACGACCTTAGTTACAGTTTCTGGGAGAGAGCGTGTTATCTAGCGCGATGAACAATTTGAACAAGGCCAGCACGCTCAATCTCTCGGCCACGATGACTTGTGACTTCGTGCTAGCACAGCTATCGACAGCCGACCGGAGTTCCGTCTACCTAGTTTTACTCCCAACGCTTGGGTCAACCCGTGGTATGGCTTTCAAACACTTCCAAAGGTGCTGCACGGGGATCGACCACGGTCCATTCCAATAACAACAGGAAATCGCTTTCCTGACAAATCAACCATGGTGAGATTTGCATGTTCAGAAAGCAAACGTTCTAACCACTCGGCCACACGCCTCTCTCTCTCTCTGTGTGTGTGTGTGTGTGTGTGTGTGTGTGTGTGTGTGTGTGTGTGTGTGTGTGTATATATATATACACAAATATATATATATATATATATATATATATACATACATATATAAGCAAGTGTAAATGGATATAAATCCGACAGAATGAAGAAATTTTGAAAAAAACAAACAAAATCCTTAAATGTAGTTAAAATGAAAAAATGTCGACGTCTGACGTTTCGGTTTAATAAACCTTTTTCGAACAATATTCATCAAAATACAATTCAGTTCAATATGACAAATACGATGGACATAAAAACACAAGTCTTATTCAGAACAGATAACTGAAAATTTTTAAAATGATCAGCCTCTGTGTCGTCACATAGGCGACGCTTTCTAACAATATTCTAAAAGTTTGTGATTATTTTGAAATGAAAAAAAAAAAATGAAAAGAATTCTATTAGGTTCTAAAATTTCTTATATATATATCAATATATAAAGAAACCAGGTCTATATTCATGCGTGAGATGGATATATATATATTTTGATGAATATTGTCTGATTTATATATATTTATTTAAGGATTTTGTTTTGTTTTTCAAAAATTTCTTTTACATATATATATATACATATATATATATATATATATATATATATATATATATATATATATATATATATATATATATATATATATATATATATATATATATATATATATATATATATATATATATATATATATATATATATATATATATATATATATATATATATATACACATAAATATACATATATACACATATACACACATGTGCTATCGGCGAGGGATAATTTATATATATATACTTTATTTAAAATAATTTAAAAAATAGAAAGAAGGCTTTCAGCGGTTATATAATTAAAATAAGACCCTCCTTCCAATCATGCATCATTTGTCCATGTTGTGGACAAAATTATCTATCTATCTATCTATCTATCTATCTATCTATCTATCTATCTATCTATCTATCTATCTCAGTCTGTACAGATCTATCTATCTATCTATCTATCTATCTATCTATCTATCTATCTATCTATCTATCTCAGTCTGTACAGATCTATCTATCTATCTACCTATCTATCTCAATGAGTAACTTGCACTCTCTTACAATATCTATCTCTGTCCCTTGGTATCTAACGAATGTGTAATGCGTTATTATTAAAGTGAATATATTTTAAAATATGAGAAACTGATAGTGAACGTCCGTGCTGTTATCTTGATTCTGAAGTAAATAATAATAAACTCTATCAGACTTTATTATAAAAGACAATGTTTCCTCTGTAAATTTGCAGTTAAACAAACCGATGTGGTAAAACGTTCAGGATATGTTCATACTTATATAACAAATATACTAAGTGAATTTCAGCTTACACAATTGATCAGTATTAAAATTATGACAGTTTGTATTTGTTGGTGTTCAATTTGCCTTATGCCCACCAAGTTCCAGATATTGTTCTATCCACCAGCTCTATCAAAACTTGATTGAAAATAATTTATCTAAGCTTAACATAAAATTTCTATACATACTTCTAAAACAATAAGACTTAATTAATACAAAGTAAATAACAATAATCTAAATCTCGAAGGTATTTGATTATTTGATTACAAAAGGAATAATTTACAAAACAACACATTCAATACATTAGTTGCTGAGGTAATTAGTCTGATCATAATTTTGATTAAAGATGTTATTTTAATTAAAAGAGAAAGCAATTTACTATGTCGAAAATATATAAAAAGTGCTTTAATCATTAGATCATCGGTAGTAAATATACGTCCTTTTTTTTTCATTTTAACATGGATTCCCCCCCAAATTGTTCTGATATATAAAAAATTATATACTGTTTTTTTTTCACACTAAGTTATCATAGAAATATAGACACTTTTGTGATATGGTGGAAGATGTTATTTTAATTAAAAGAGAAAGTAATTTACTATGTCGAAAATATATAAAAAGTGCTTTAATCATTAGATCATCGATAGTAAATATACGTCTTTTTTTTCATTTTTACATGGATTCCCCCCAAATTGTTCTGATATATAAAAAATTATATACTGTTTTTTTTTCACACTAAGTTATCATAGAAATATAGACACTTTTGTGATATGGTGGAAGATGTTATTTTAATTAAAAGAGAAAGTAATTTACTATGTCGAAAATATATAAAAAGTGCTTTAATCATTAGATCATCGGTAGTAAATATACGTCCTTTTTTTTTCATTTTAACATGGATTTCCCCCAAATTGTTCTGATATATAAAAAAATATATACTGTTTTTTTTCACACTAAGTTATCATAGAAATATAGACACTTTTGTGATATGGTGGAAGGGAGATCCGAATCCTAGATGGACGGCTAAGTAATCGAGAAGAATAATGGCGTGATGCCACAGCAGGAACTCAAAACCTTAGCGGGAAGAACTCACACGGTTTTAAAGACAAAAGGGAGAACACTCCGGTATTAGAAGAGTATCCCAAATTAAAAAAATAAAATGCTGACGATATATATATATATATATATATATATATATATATATATATATGTGTGTGTGTGTGTGTGTGTGTGTGTGTGTGTTAAACCTTTCACCCCAAGCAAGGCGGGAGTGCCACTAGACCGCAAGGGGTTCACGGAAAGTGGGAGCAAGAGTAAAGAGGTATGAAAGAGGAAAGAATGAAGAGAAGGACAGGGAATAGATTGACATTGCACTTGAATAGTTGGAGATTATAGCTATCAGGGAAGCAAAGAGGAAGGAAGTTCCACAGACGTGAAGTGCGAGACATGACGCTATTGGGGTAGAAGATACGGCTCCATTTAACCGTTTAGACAGTGAAAGGGTGGGATTGAGATGCCGACCTAGTGGCACGTTTAAATTCATGCAGTTTGTAAACTAGTGAAAATAGATCGTCGGAGCAGTTACCATAAAGTATTGCTAGAAAAGGCAGAGAGAGGCGATGGCACGTCTGTGAGGCAGCGACTCTAAAAGAGATGACAGGTCAGGGCCAACCACATTGCATATCCGTCTCTGGATTTTGTCGACGACCCTAAGACGAACAGCGGCGGTTCCAGACCATATATGATAGCAATATTCCATGCAAGAACGAATGGTTGATTTATAGATTTGAAGGATGGACTAGGACGAGAAAAAAAAATTTCTGGCGCGACATAGGAAACCAACTTTCCTTGCGGTGGAAGAAGTTATTGACTCAGTGTATTTTTTCCGTCTCAGGTCAGCGGACAGTTTGAGACCAAGCAATCACAAAGAAATTCTGTGGTGGGTAATAGAGAGCAGTTTTGTTTTGGGGGCATTAAAATTTACCAGCCATTTCCTGCCCCATCCAACAACCGATTGGGGTTCTTTTCGAGAACAGCGGCCAGGTTAGTTTTGTCAAAGATACCAGATTTACTATTGGGGCAGGAGTAAATAGTAGTGTCGTCTGCATAGATGCCTACTTGGGAACTGATGACATCAGGAAGATCGTTAATGAATATCAGAAACAGTGTAGGACCCAGGATAGTGTTGACTATGTTCGCCATAGTCTATGAATATAGAATGAATCGCAGTACGTAATCTGTTCAATGAAACAATGTCAAAGATTAACACTCACGAGTCAGACACTCTCTGGAATCTGACTATATCGCCAATACTACCACCAGCTGTTCCGTAATTCTTCAGTCTTCGATATCAAAGGCTGGCAGTGAATATTCGGGAAAAACCATGGCCGCCATTACACACATCGCATTGAATATTTTGAGCCTTCTGATTGGTTAACCCTTCTATTGGTGAACTATAAAATGAGTCAGCTCATTTTGACTGGCTCACTAGTACACAGAGTACCCCCAAACTGTAACAGATAGAACCTTAGCGAAGACCTCCGTTCGTGAGAAAGGAACCGGAGGAGAATCCGTTTAGGACGACGTTCATTACACGTTTTGACATGAATGATTGTGGTCAAAGTCAAATAATCGTCCCTGAATGTTGCGACGGGGGCCGGCATGTCAAACTCTATCAAAAGCTTTAGAGAAATCTAGAGCCACGGCACGAGCTTCTCTGTTATTGTGAAGTGCTTGGTAAACAAATTCAGTTATGGCCGTAATCGGGCAAAATGGAAACCCAAATTACTTGAAAAGATCATGGGATATAAGGTTCTTAATGCTTAACCACTTTAGCGTTGATTAAAGCATCAAAGACTTTGCCGAAGAGTGGTAGGAGACAGATAGGACAGTAGTTAGATGGGTCAGAAGGGTCGCCAGAGTTCTTGAAGACTGGTACAACAGATGAAAATTCACAACAGGATGGAAAGGATGAGGTTGTTGATGCAGTAGTTATGTAGTTTGGAGCTGACAGGAGCCAGTTCAGGAGCATATTTCTTCAGGATAATGGCTGGTATCCCGTCTCTACCGCTAGCCTTATGCAACTCTAATTAAGAGATGATGCCGAATACCAACAATGGGGTTATGTGAAAATCGCTCAACAGAGCCTCCGTTCTACGGAGGAAATCGTGTGTCGGTATACTGGACGAGTCGACCGTTGAATTGGATGAGAATTTACGAGGAAAGCACTGGGCCTTATCAGCTGAGGAAGTCAAGACCTGAAATTGGTTGAAAAAAGAAGGTATTGTGGATTTGCTGTTGTTTAATAAGCTCTTGCAGAGACGCCAATAATCTGTGGAACCGACTTTGCGAGATACAATACGTTGTTTCATTCTATCATTAAATAGTGATTTTGCTTTATTGAAGACACGCTTGTACACATTACGGGCTGAGATAAAGAGACGTTTGTTGCAATCTGACATGTTACTACGGTACAGTCGGAAGTAGTGATTCCTATGGGCAGTGGCAGCTGAGCAAGAAGCAGAGAGCCAGGGGGATGAGCGTGATTTAACCTTATATTTCCTTGCGGGGGTGAAAGCCTCGATTCCAGGTTTTACCCAGGAGGAGACCTCAGAAGCGCATTCTTGAGCGGGGAGATTAAAGACCACATTCCAGGGGACATCACAAAGGAAATCACGGAACGAGTCCCAGTCAACTCGTTGATAACAGAAAGATGTTCTGTCGGTGGGGGTTTCTTTGCTGGGTGTGAAGTAGAAGGAGATGTTGACTGACACTGAAGCATGATCAGAGTTGCCAAGTGGGTAGAGCTGCGTGGTACGACAAGACTCGAGGACAGAGGTGAAACAGAGATCGAGAAGGGAAGTCTTACCGTCTGGGTTGTTGAGGAAACGGGTGTGAAAGTCAACCACTTGTTTGAGAAGTAATAGAGAAGTTAAGGGTTCGTATGCCAGCAAAGTCAGTTATAGACTTGGTATCGTGGGCGTTAAAGTCACCCAGAACGAATATATGAGCAAACGGATAAAGAGAGATATCCTTTCCTATAATGTCGGAAATGCTTTCGAATACATCACAGTCTTGGGAGGATAGCAAACGATAAAGGAAGAAGAGATAGCTTACAGCATTGAGGAGAGATAGACGGAGACACATATATAAATGGTTCGTAGATTCGAAAGAGAATTCCCTAACCAATGGGGGATCGTCCTTGGCGTAAACTCCTAGGCTGTGCATGTGTTTTTGGGAGTCTTTTCTAAGGAGAGGAAGGTAACTGGGGTTTGAGAGGTTAGAGGAGGGGATAAACGAGTTAAGTTTGGTCTCGCAGAGAGCCAGTATATCAGGAGACTTCCCAACGAGGAATGATTCCACACTGCAGAAGTTGGTTCGAATGCCGCGGATTTTAGAAAAGAAAATGTTTAGGTGATTTATTTAGAGCTGGTTTAGGCTTACTTTTTTATCGTTTGTTGTCATGTTGGGTAATGTTGGATAATGAAAATGAGAAGGCCTAAAGTAGTAGGCGGTCATTTTATGAGACAAGAGCAGAAAGGAGATGGCGCGAACTGCAACAGGATGCAGTCTCAGGGTTGCCCACCGGAGGTGCGTGCAGGGACACCCTTCCATGCGCGACATGGTACTGCAGGCACCCCGATATCAAGAAGCTACGCAAGAGTTAGGGCTCCTAACTAACAGTCGGGAACAACAACCAGAAAACTATCAACACGGTACCCTCAAAATGAAGAGGTGTTGCCACAGACTGCACACC